GGGGGGGGGGGGGGGGGAGAGGGGGGAAGGGGGAACAGGTGAGTGAGCGATGACGGTGTGCATGGTGTGGATGGGAAGGACTAGTACGAGTCCGTGGTGTATTGTGACCTGCCGTGTGTGCGTGCGTGTGTCAATTTTGGGATGTTGTCCCGGTAGCTCGTTAAATCGGCGACAGCCAGTCACCCATCCATCAATCCATCCAGGCGTCCATCACACAGCCAAACGGGGTCTTTACAGATGTGGGGGACACACACATTCACACCGACACACCCCACACAGGCAGACAGCCATCCAGCCGCGCATGTGCGCACCCACACACCACATGGAAATCGATGCCACGGGGTGTGGGCATGCGAACAGGCCGCGCCAGTTGGAATATCTGCCTGGTTCGAATCAGTCATCCAAAAGCAAGTAACCCACCAACAAGCAACCGAGAGAGCCGCACGCACACACATGGATGGATTCTCTACAGGTCACTGGCTCGCTCAGAAGTAGTGTGTGTGGGCCGTAGAGCGTGTGTAGTGTGCGCGTGCGTGTCGCGTGTTGGGAATGTTACCGTAGTAGCTTAACGGGGTGTGTCTGCAATGGCACGTACGTATGCGTTCATCGGAAGGGGGGCCCCTCGTCGGTATGGCAGTCCACGCCTCAGAGTAGCCATGCCATCCACATCACACACACCAACACATGAGCACGAGCACGACAGCCAGTCTGTCCATCCATTAGTCCATCAAAAAGATAGGAACCATATCTGCCCGTCAGGCGGTCCGTCTGCGTACACACACGCCACACACACACAAGAGTCAGTCACACATGTGTACACACACCAGTCAGTCAGAGATAGAATGCGTCTGTCCGGATGGCGTGGCGTGGCGTGACATGGTATATGCTATGGGGAAGGCGGCGTGTGTCTGAGAGGAGAGGACCACAGTGGGTTGGGATCTCTCCCCCTCTCTCCAGCTCAACTATCATACACTACCCAACACGCGCACATACCGCCCCTCGCTCCCTCTCTCTGTGTGTCTGGGTGTGGTGCGCGTGTGAGGCAGGCAGGCTCGCGAGAGGAAGGGGCGGTGTGTGTCGCCTCGCTGTGTTGTGTGAGGTGAACCAGTCAGTCACGGGCAGTCTGTCTGATCTGATCTGTCCGTTGGTTTAACTTACCCCTCCCCTCCCTCCCCACTCGACTCACTTCCCCTGTAATCGACCATATCACTTGCGACGCGAGCATAGCAGCTACACCGACCACACAAACCAACAGCCACTCAGTCAGTCGGACAGACACCCACCAACAGCCAAGCCCCCCATATGTGCATCACGTGTGCGGTGCGTATGGTGTGATATGGATGGACGGAATGGCTGCATGCAGGCGCCGCCAGCCAAAAACAGCCACACTCCACCCACAAGACACCACATCACACCACACCACGGCACGGCAACACACACACACACCCCGGTATGGAAAGAAAGAAACGCAACACGCACGCAAGCTAGTCTATGTGTGTGTGTGTTAGGGGTATTATCTATCACTCCATGGCCTTCTTGCCCTTGCCGGCGGGGGCCCCCACCTGCTGCTGCTTGCCGGTCTTCTTCATGAGGGACTTGTGGATGTGGGGGATCACACCGCCGCCGGCAATGGTGGCCTTGATCAACGTGTCCAACTCCTCGTCACCGCGAATCGCCAACTGCAGGTGCCGCGGCGTGATGCGCTTCACCTACACACAACACAACACAACACACATAACATGGTGAGGGGTGCATGACGGCATGCGTGTGCTGTGCCGTGTGTGGGGTGTGGGGGTGGCCGCGCACCTTGAGATCCTTGGATGCGTTGCCGGCGAGCTCGAGCACCTCGGCGGTGAGGTACTCGAGGATGGCGGCCGAGTAGACGGCGGCGGTGGCGCCCACACGGCTGGAGGCACTCACGCGGGACTTGAGCAGACGGTGCAGACGCCCTACGGGGAACTGCAGACCGGCGCGGGCACTCCGCGACAGCGGAGCCTTCTTGCCCTTGCCAGAACCGCCAACCTTGCCCTTGGCGCCGACCTTCCCGCCGACCTTCCCGCCAACCTTGCCACCCTTGCCACCAACTGATGACGCACACAGAAACCACCACACACACAGAGACATGAGCCATGGCTCTCACAACATCTCTCATGAGCATGCATGGGGCGTCATGGAGCCTCCCTTCACGACGCGTTGTGTCTCATGCCCACTCCGCCCCCCGCCAGCCCTCCCCGGCCTCGCTGCAGGCTTTTCACCGTGCGGTTTGCGTACCTTTGCCACCCTTCCCGCCGACGGCTCCGACCTGCGGCACACTGCTCATGGCGTCGACTAGGCGAGGAGCGCAAACGGACTGATATCAACCAGCTGAGCCTTTTCTAAAGCGCCGCGAGGGACAGCGACGCTAGCAACAGCAGAGAGCGATAGGCAGAGCACGAGAAGCGTGACAGAAACCCAGAACGAGACGATTTTGCGGCCAACACTTCCCAAGTCCTGCGAGCCTTTAGCTCGCAACCGGGAAGAAGGCGGAAGGCTGTTGTCTGCAAAATGAAGTTTGTGTGCTCTATCCTGGTCGCCTTGGCCTCCTTGGCCATTGCCAGCGGCTTTGTGAGCACGCCCCTGAGGCGGATCTCATCCCGGCCCTCATCTCCCGCCACCCCCTCATCGCTCCAAATGAGATCTCCCTCGCCACCATCACCATCACCACCACAGATGGAAGATACGGCCTCCCCCCTCCCTCTGCTTGCGCCGCTGCTCGGCCTCGCATCTGCCGCTCTGCCGTCAGTCGCACAGGCAGGCGAGATTGTGGATGGCGTGTATGAGCTCAAGGAGCCCTGCCGCGAATTCCTCGGCGTGGCGCTTTGCATCCCCGTGCCCGACGCCGTCAATGCCTTCGTGGGTCTGGACTGGGGCCGGTACATCACTCTGACGTGCCTGGGTCTGTTTGGGTTTCTGGCGCTGTATGGGCTGATCCGGGTGCCGCTAGCCGAGCCGCTGCGTGAGCTGCCTGAGCAGCAGTACCCGCCGCTCTTCACTGCTGATGGGGAGGCCTACCTGGACGAGCTGAGGACGGAGCTGGGCACCAAGGGGATTGTCGCCAAGAACCCCTACCCGACCAGCAAGGACAACTAGATCACATCAAGACCGAGAGAGAGATCGGGTGTGGTGTGATGTGTGATGGGAGAGAGAGAGAGATCTGAGTTTTGACTTGCTGAGTGGCGGATGAATGACACGTGCGGTGGGAGAGAGAGGGGGGGAGGGATGTGATCTACTACTCAGCCGTGAGGAAGGAAGGCTCAGCACAGTCAGAACATGCTTACTCTTTGCCCTGGCTGGGAGTTTGGCTGTGGTCTCCAATGCCACAGAAGGTGTTGGCCGCCTTGCCGACAGCTTGTGCGGCACCGGAGGGTCGGATACCAGCCCCACTCACAGGCTAATGTGATGTGATATTATGATGGGGTGATAGTGTATGCGCCTGTCTGAGCAGTGTGTGGGGGTGATGGCTCTCAGAAAGTGAGCACCACACGGCAGCCATATGGCCAACACGTGTGTGGTGCTGCCGTGTAGTGCTTGATTTCTTGAGGGAGCCATCATCTGCACTGCACTGCTTTGTGGTGTTGGTATTTTTGTCCTCTGGCTCACTGCAATATGGGCTGGTCGGTCAGGGGACACGACACTTTCAGACATTAATGGCTCGCCACTTTGAAACTCCTTCCTTCCCTTCTGACTCCATCGCGGGGGCTGCGAGCTTAGCAAAGCGGTCCCATCATTGAGTTTGTTGCATCGCCATGATGCGTTCCAGCAAAGGATGAAGCAGATGGCCACCCGAACACTCGCCCGCCGGCGGAGGGCCTTCGCCACACTCGCCAGACGCCACGACCACGCACACACCGTCCTCCCATCCACCTCATTCGCACACACAAGACGGGCACAGCACACACAGGCCGACCAAGCGGCACACAGTGGACACAATGATCCCCATCCCGGCAAGGCGCCACAACCACAACCGGGCTTCCTGCAACAGTACATGCAGACTGTCGACAGCATGACAGCAGTCAACCACCACCAGCAGCAGCAGCAGCAGCAGCCGGCTGGTCCGTCGATGGACTTCCCGACGGAGAGTATGGGTCATTGCAGTGTGGAAGATGTGGCGGTGCTGCAGGCGTCTTATGCGGCGGAGTGGGTGAGCAGCCCGCTGAGCGTCCACGAGAAGGACGTCCTGCAGCAGCGGTGGATTGCTATGACGCAGGATGAGGCGTGCTGCAGATTCCTCAAGGTGACCACACCAGACCAGACACACAGTCCGGCAGCCAGCCAGACACACAGACACACAGACAGACCCACACCACCTGTGGTGCATGCCCCGTGTGTCTGTGTGTCTGTGTGTGTGTGTGTGTGTGTGTCTGTAGGACAAGTGTGACATCCCTTTGTTCTTCTTGAAGGACCGGCGGCTGCAGCAGCGCTTCTGCCTGTACGTTAACAACGCCCCCCCACTGCTCAAGGACCTGCGCGCATCCCTCCTCGGCCTCTTCGACCCACACAAGGCCGACCTGCGCAACGACAAAACATACAACATGGTGGAGTGAGTCAGTCAGGAAGTGCCAGTGTCACGCCACGCCCACACAGAGAATGCATGCCCGCTCTAATCGCTTTCTGTTCAGATGCTGCAATCGGTGGATGATGGCTCTCCAGCACCAGCACCAGCACCACCAACAGCAGCAGCAGAATGGTCGTCAGGACGGCGGGAGATAATGGACCAAGCGTCATGCGGAGAACCACAGCCGTGGGAGGTGCACCGGCTGTTGCTGAGCCAGGTGCAGCAGTACGGCCCCCTGATGAGGGCGCTGCTGCCCTTCCTCGCAGAGTCGTACGGCGAGCAGCTCATCGCATTTCGGAACGTCAAGGGATTGGCGGTAAGTGCCAAAGAGGGAGGGAGGGAGGGAGGGAGGGGTGTGCTATGAGTGTGATGGTTGGTCAGGATTTGCGTCTGCCTCACGAGTCCTATCCGGCTGCTCGTGCGTCGCCCCGAGCCGTGCACATCCACGTGGGCCCCACCAACAGCGGCAAGACCCACCACGCCCTCAGACGACTTGCTACCGCACACACAGGCACGCATCACAACACACTTCACTTGGACAGACTGACGGAAAGACCACGCCTCCACACAATCGTGTGTGTGTGTGTAGGTGTGTATTGCGGCCCATTGCGTCTGCTTGCGTGGGAGGTGCACGAGAAGCTGACAGCGGGGGGCATCAAGTGCGACCTGCTCACCGGACAGGAAACCGTCAAACAAGACGTACGCACACACACACACACACGGCGATTGATGCCATCCTATGCACACCAAGTGTGAAGAAAACCGAGTGCACTGGTCTGGTGTGGTCTCTGTGTGTGTGTGCCATAGGGTTCTCATCACCTGTCGTGTACAGTAGAGATGGCGCCCATGGGTGTGCCGGTGGAGTGTGCCGTCATCGACGAGATGCAGATGGTCGGCGACAAACAGCGGGGTGCCGCGTGGACCAGGGCATTCCTCGCCATTCAGGTACTCAACGCACCCTCGTCAGTCACACACAGACGGGACGGGAGACGATCCTGATGGGTCGTATGTGCGTGTGCGTGTAGGCCGAGGAGCTGCATGTGTGTGGCGACCCCCGGTTTGCGGAGCTCATTAGAGAGATCGCCGCAGACTGCGGCGACCAGGTCAGGTTGGTCAGACAAACCAAGACACCCACACCCCCCACCCCACCGCATGGCATGTTGTGTGTTCACCCATCCCCATGAATCGTTCAGGTGTTCCTGCATTCGTACGAGCGGCTGTCTCCTTTATCTGTGGCACCGTCGTCTCTGTCGTCATTGGATGCGGTGGAGGACCACGACTGCGTCATATGCTTCACGCGCAAAGACATCCTCAGGATGAAAAGAGACCTAGAGAAGCTAGGTAGGCAGGTACCTACCTGCTGGACGGGCGCCTGTCCATATGCTATGCGTGTGTGTGTAGGTCGGAGTGTGTGTGTGGTGTACGGCTCATTGCCCCCCGAGACGCGCAGGCAGCAGGCCCGGCTCTTCAACGACCCACACACACAAGTACGCACACACAACGACAGCAACACAGCACATGCACCCACGTGCCTCTCCATCCCTCCCTCCCTCCCTGCCCCGGTCAGCACCGTGTGTTGGTGGCGTCCGACGCTGTGGGTATGGGGCTGAATCTGAATATCCGGCGCATAGTCTTCCGCTCACTCAAGAAGTATGACGGCAGCGGTGTTCGGCAGCTCACGCCTTTAGAGATCAAACAAATCGCCGGACGCGCCGGCAGGTAAGGTACTTGTGGGGGTGGGTGAGGTAGGCAGGGGATGTGTGTGCGTGTGCGTGTGGGATGATGTGTAGGTATCAGAGCGAGCACCCGGAGGGCTGGGTGACGTGTCTCAGGGAAGACGAATTCGACACTCTCAAAGAGGCAATGGGAGGTGAGCTGCGAGCCAGACACACCACACAAGCATCCCCTCACACCACATCACACAACTTCTCACCTCTCCCCTCCCTCCCTCCCTCCCTCCCTGTGTGAGCTACAGCCCCTGTGGACAGTGATGCGGTCGATCGCGCCGGCCTTTTCCCGACATTTGAACAATTTGACGCGTTCAGGTATGGACCCCCCCCCCGCCCCCGAAACACACCACACACTGCACCATGCCTCACCCACTCGCTGCGTGAATGCAGTCGTGAGCTGGAGGGCGAAGCGAAGAGGCCGCTGCCCTTCGACGAACTACTGCAAAGGTGCCCACACACACATACACAGGGAGAGTCGAAGCACTCTTTTCGACTGTCTGTCTGTCTGTGAGCAGGTATCTGGAGTTGTCGGCAGTGAGCTCCAAGTACTTCGTGGTGGACAGCGACAACACATTGCGGCTGGCCAGGGCTTTGCAGGACGTCACCAACTTGCAGCGGGTGGAGCTGTTTGACTTCTGCCAGGCCCCGGTGGACGCCGACGACCTCGTTGCCGTCACCGCACTCAGGACATTCGCGCAGTACTACAGGTAGGTGATTTGATGGGTCAAACCACACGCAGAGAGGGGAGGAAGGGCTGGCTGATGAGCAAATGGATGTGTGTGTCGTCTGTCTTCAGTTCGTTCATGAGTGTGCCTTTGCCGAGTGCGTATGACGTGGCTCGTGATGGGGTCGAGTTGGAGCCGCCCAGGACCTTCAACGAGCTCTACCATTACGAGCTGCTCTACAAGGTCCGTCTCACATTCCACACCAACACACAGGCTGCCTTCTTGAATGTCCGCGCGCGTCTGTGCACCACCACATCAATCAGATATTGGACACCTACGTGTGGCTGGCCCGCCGCTACTCGACCGACGTCTTTCCCGACACCCATTCAGCGCAGTCCAGCAAGCAGCGGCTGGCGGCCCTCATCAACGACGGCCTCAGCAACACCGCCCACCCCATTACGAGCGAAGACTTCATCTCGGCCATACGGGATGACAACGACCCCTGTGCAGAGACCGACAGCTCAGCCATGGAGGAGGGGCAGCAGAGGCCGAGTGCGTTGGCAGAGGCGATAGAGGACACAGTGGAGGAGGACAGGATCCGCCGCACTTACCTGGAGGACATGTCGGTGGAGCGGCAGCAGCAGGAGCGGCTGCTCGCTATGATGGCCTCCCAGGGATTTGTCATGCCCACGACCCCCACCACCACAACCAACCGAGGGAAGGCCGGCAGCAGCAAGACGGCCCCGCCCCGCCCCCCTGTGTGTGTGCCGACGTCCTCTCTGTTCAAGCAGCACCGGCAGCCGATTTCTGCAGACGTCACCGTGCCCAGCACACGAGAGAACAAGACCGGCAAGAAGACACACGCGACTTCACGGGCACGTCTGCAGCTGATAGATGAGATCCATCGGGCAACGGATGAACGAGACAACAAATCCGACACGCAGCCACCGCCTGTGTCGACTGCTGACCATTGCAAGGAGGGAGAGCCCGAGGCAGGAAGGGAGAGCAAGAGCCGCATCATCCAGTTCAACGACGATGGTACGCCATTCACACACACACACACACACACGCCGCCACACAGCACAGCACACTCACCCACATGGTCGCTGTCTGCCCTCTTGTGCCTTTTCTCCCAACAGCACAGCAAGAGACGCAGGACGGCAAAGCCCCACTCCCTCTCTCGTCACACACTGCTTCCGTCGGGGTCCGCCGGAGTGCATGGCGGCCCGCGATGAGCATCGATACAGCACGAGACATCACCACCAGCAGCAGCAAGGTCAACGTCCTGAAGCGGGGTGTATTTCGACGTGACGGCCAGCGGACGACTCTAGATAGTGCAGCAGCAGCTGCTGCCTCGGGAGGGGCAGGGGGGGGGGGATGACGAGAGCCTCGCTGACAGGCTGGTGAGCAAATGAAGGAAGCTATAGTTCAACATAGTGAGTGCCACGTGTGTGTGCTTAATTGTGGGTTGGTTGTGTTGATGCAGGCAGGCGATGCGATGCCTGTGTCAACCAGCCCGTCCCTTGACTGACTGACTCGGCTTCTTTGAGTGCCCACCCCACCCCCCTATCAAACCAATGAGTGGATGGATGGATGGATGGCGTAGCAGGAAGATAGGTAGGTAGGGTGGTGTGGCGTATAGTATAGAGCTCTAGTCGGTCAGTCTCCACGGGATGGGTCACGGATGTGGTTGATGTGCGTGAGTGTGCACTTAATGGACATGCACAGCACTGCGGGACGCTTTACTCGTATCGTGTTTGACTGACTTGTGTGTCTCCAACACACACACACAGTCTCAACTCACTGATCGAAGGATATGTGTGTGTGTCGTCCACGGATGCCCTGATCTGCGCCCTCGGGTCAGGCGCAGTTCAGCACTTGCTCCCAGTGCGTCGCTGGGCATGACCCATGGATGAATAATCCAGACATCCACCCACACGACAACACTCACACGCATCTCAATGAATCTCAATGAAGGGGTAAGAGAGAGTAAAGACAGGACAACCGCAGTAACCGACGCACGTAGCGACAGGTGCTCCTGCGTTTGTGTGCGTCGGCTCCCGGAGCCGCCACGACTTCATCTTTCGCACAGACTCCCACGGCGGAGGCTTCTGGTGCTGCTGTGCGGAGGGCAGAGAGGACGCAGCTGAGGCAACAGCCGAGGAAGCGGCGCCTGCAGCCAGCAACATGCATAAGTCGTGCTTGTGTGCGGTGCGCCTGTGGGGTGTGTCGTGTGTATGCCTACCCTCTCGATTTGCCGATGAGGGTGCCCAGCCTGAGTGCGCCTTTGCCTCCCGCTCCATCACTAACTCCGGTTGGCCAACACAGATCAGACCTCCTCAGGAGTCAGCCGTCAGACCCGCACCACTCGCCACACGGCATTCAGCGTGCGTCCTCCTTAAGGTCTTCTCCATTTCCTCACCGCGAGCTTGGATCAGGACTCATCTGCTCAGTCAGGGGCAAGATCTTGTCCTTTAAGTAAGCGACGTTCCGATGATGCATGGCATGGCCAGCAGGGTGCATTCATCTCATCTGTTTCGT